CCCCAACTACCCCTGGTGTCATACAAACCCACCCAAAGGTGAGGGCTAGGGGTAAGGCACCCCTACCCACCTTTCACAAGGGTGATCACTAGCCTGGTATTTCCTGGGGGCTTCCACACCACTGAGAGCCCCACCAAGCCACCCACACCCTCCATTTCAAGAAAAAAAATGGTCATTCACCACTTCAATGTAAGCTGAAACTAATTTTGTTATATGAAGTAACTGCTGTACAATCTCCCTCACAAGGGGGGATTTTCACTCTGAAAAGAACTAATGAGTAATCTGGGTACCACATCTGTGCATAATTGTGAACATCTGCAATTTACAGCTGGACATTCTTCAGTGTTAAGCTACCCACAAAACAAATGCTTCTGGCTGGCAGTATGGACTGCAAAAGCTTACGAAAAACTGTTTTTTTTTATACTTTAGTAACTTTGGTCCCAGATCAGGTCCCACTACAGTCAACAGCAGAACACCAGCTGAGTTAGTGGGAGCAGGTCTCAGCGCTGGCTTAGCCAGACTCCATGCTCTCTAGTAAGAACAGAATGCTCTAGATATTCCAGATATAGAAGGTTTCCCTGACACACAAAGTATTTATACAGTGTGTGTGAGAATTATATACTTAAGTTACATGTACAAGTACAAAATTAATTTCAATTTCTCTTCTCTTCTCTATGAAGTAAGACCTTGCACGCAGATCTTACCTCACAGATTATTCAGTATCTGCATAAAACCACAATGCACTGTATAAGCACTTGGGAATTTTCAATTTATCTGAATAAACTAGGAGAGAGAATGAAAAGGTTAAAGGGAGCATCACTTTCCCCGGACAGAAAATCCAAATGTTCAGCACACGTGGAAAGAAACTTACCTTCCGGAGGAACACACTACAGTTATTTCAGTCATGCTTCTGGGTCACTAATCTTTGTGTTTGCACATAAATCTCCTAAACGATATTGTGGCACTCTACACACAAGATTTAGAGCAATCCATTTAAGGCATCTATGGGTTTAAATTTTTAAATAATGTGGTGTTTTGGGTCCTCCATGTATTTTGTTAAATTATTTCAAAATAAAAATGCAAAGAACTGAACTGAAATTTAAGAAATCTTGGGGAATATTTTTCACACAAATGAGACAACTTTGTGAGATTTCTACTTAGAACTGCAGCCTCTTTGGGGAAAGAATTGCCTCTTTGTTCAGTGCTTGGCCACTTTGGGGGTCTGTGGGTCTGAGTCTGGGACTGGGGCTACTTGAGCACTGCTGCAACTTGAATAAAAAGTAATAGGAATAATATCATACTCATCCAGTGATTGCTTTATACATTTATCCTAAAGATTAAGACAGACACTAATATTAGAGTGAAAACTATTGGCCCCTTACCCTCTTTATTCCCTAGTATAGCCAGGAGCACTAAAGACAAAGAAGAAACTACAAAGTTGCACTCACTGAATTTCTGGCCCATCATCCTGTGTTTTAGCATCTGTGGAGCCTCCAGTTCTCAGCTGAAGACTGGGGGCATGCACAGCTATTTGCCTGGTATAAATTCATGTTGCTTACTTTAAGTTGTGTGAACATAGACTGGGAGCAGTGTGTGCAGCTGTTTGCCAGTACTGGGAGCTGTGCAGGATACCCGGTGTCTTGGGATGAGATTGGGAGGGGCTGGCAGGTTTTCTGGCGAAGGGGGCTTGGTAGGTTTCCTGGTGGGGTTGTGTCAAGGGGTGGGGGAGGTCAGGGAGCTAAAAATAGCCTGATCAGGGTTGGGAGGTAGAAAGAGCATAACCCTGGGACTGGGGCAACTGGAAGGGCTTTCTCAGACCTAGGGCTGCACTCTAAATACTTACAGGCATTCAATAGAATGGGCTAACTCATCCCAATTTAAGTTCATTTACCATATTCAGTGAAATAACTTAGGTTGGGCCCACCAATTTTTGCCCAATTTGGCTCCTCTGAATGCCTGTACAGATGGGCATTTAGCTTGACCTAGCCCTAGTCAGGTTGATCTAAATGTAATGGCTGCACATACCCTACAAAGCGTGTACACTATCAAGGTTTTGGTTTCTTCCTTGTTCTGTACAATGGAAGCCACAGTATCAGTGCTCAGTCATCATTAATAAACCTGAGTTAATTCATAGGAAATTCTGTGAATTTTGGGCCAGCTGAATTGAGGAGGGAAGCTTGGTGTTCACTCTCTCATTGCAGCATGGTAGGTTAGGAGCCATTTTTCCAGTACTACTATGTACTTTGAGACTGCTTGTATTCCACTTTCCCTCTAATAGCAGTGGGAGTGCAATGCAGGGTTACATATTCAGCATTAGCTGCCATGGGTAATTCACCAGGAATTTTCACAGTTTAGCAGGAGATGATGTTGAGTAAAAGCTTCTTCTGGCACTTCCTACTCCTGCATGGTCACACCTCCACAGTCCCAAAGGGCATACATATATTTAGGGACATGAGTATAACATGGGTTAAGCTCTTTTTTGCTTGTTTTTGGGCCAGTTTTGGTGAATATGCGTGTACCTTTCATCTCCTCCATACCCAAAAGGAGAGGAGATGACTTAGCTCCCATCTTGCAGGTTATACTCAGCTTGTTAAGGTGAAGTTTTCTACTTCTTTTTCTTTTTCAAAGCTGAACAAAACAGTGTTTGTAAACTGGAGGGATAATTTTGGTGGTCTCAGTCTCAGACCATAGAGAAATGTTATTCATCCATGCACAACATATAATTCAGCCTAAGTGACAGGCTCTGCTCTGGAGAACTCCTGGACTGAGCTGGCTTACAGAGTCAATTATTCCCAGGGAGGCGGGGGGAGGGTGGGCTAGACAGAGTAGAGGTGGCTGCCAACAAGGCATGGGGAAATTTACTTTGTGTCAGCCTGCATGACACAGTACCTCATTTGTGGATAAATGTAAATCTGCTAGTTCTTTTTCACAGGCAGTAAAATGTACAATCTTCCCCTATTCCCAAAACAGGAAAAAAAATCAAGACTGTCTTTGGGAGCTACCTTATATTTCAATCAATTCTCTTTCATAAAAGTCATTTAAGGTAAATATCTATAATGACCTACAGCCCAACTATAATATTTACTATGGCCCAAATGTTGAATTCCTTACTGCAAGATTCCCACTGAAGTCAATGTGAGTTATGCCTGAGAAAGAACTGACTAAAAATTGAGTAAGGATTTCAGGATTTGTCCCTTTGTTTATCAGTCTAAAGTGGCACTGCTGTCCAAAAAAGTTAAAATAAATAAAACTCCTCCCACACTCAAAACCTTCAAAGCTAAAAGGTGAAAAAACATTATATTTGTCCATAAAGCATCTAGAGAATCCCATTTTATCAAAAGAAGGGCAATTCCCAATGAAAGAATTTGGAAAAAGGCAGAAGAGGACATCTCAAAATAAATGAGGCACTTATTGCTGAAAAATGAGCATAGATATATCTCAGCAAATGCTAAAGCTCAGAATTTACTGCATTTTTCATGCCTTCTCCAGTAAGTTTCTTATCTCACATTTGGTATCACAACAAGGGATTCTGCATACTCTGTATGAAATACAACAAGCCTGTGATTTTTGCAGTAATAAACTCCATACATGCATGACAAATCCAAGCATGCAAAATGTTTAACATCCCAGTTCACAGATACTTTGGGGACAAAATCCGATTATGAGTTATATGCCACAATAAATAGGGCTCAACGTTTCATAAAGCAATTTATAGTTCATAAAAATGACAAAATGTACCTGTCAGATAGAACGCGGAGAGTAGATCTCTGTGCTGCCTGCTGGAAGAAAGGGCAGAGATGTTTATTTTATATTCTGACTCTAAAATTACGAGCACAATCAACACTTAAAAAAATGTGTAACACACATTTTTGTCAAGTGTCCAAATTCTAAAGTCCTAGCAAAGTAGCAGAAAGTCTATAGTAAAATGGACATTTCAGACTAGCAAATGTAAGACTACTTCGTTAAGTATGCCATAAACCAGCAGATTGTCAAAGCAGTGCACAGTATTTGAGGTCTGAATTACTCTATTTAGATGATTTTCTGCAGGTTTCTGAAAAGCCAGCGAGGTTTGATTCTCTTCCTCCCCCCTGCCACTCCCACCCACACTCCTTTACCATTAGTCTCCTCCCATTCTTCCACAGAAACAAACATCACATATTTGGTTCCTTTTGAGATGGGAGCCTGTAGCTGTAATGATAAATTTAGTGAAGACTGCCAGACCTGCTGCAGGCTTCTCATGAGCCACGTTCATCTGCTGGCAACTTTTGACTACACTGTACAGGACTGACCCGTGCTGTTTACTTCTCAGTTCTTGTACAGTACAACTCTTAGGATGGGGTATAAAACATGGTCCTTGTTATTGTGTTTACTGGCAGTTCTAGGAATAGAAATCATAGTCTCTCAAGTTTTAGTAGGGCTCTCAAGCCTATCTCTGAGTTGGACTGCCACTTTATTATTATTATTATTATTATGATGATGATGATGATGCTTTCCCCTCCTTGAATCATTTCAAGTGGTGTGATTCATGACTTGGGTGCATTAACCAACTGCTAGCTCTATAGTGTCCTCATAATCCACTTTAAGGCCTTGACTATAATATCATTGTATATGTTCAGGTTGTGACCTCTCCATTAGGCACAAAAGGAGCATGTGGTTAAGCCATGGTTGGAGTCAAGGGCAAGAGAAGTTGGAATTTTGCCTTTGCAATTGCTAGATGAATGTGTTTTGAAGTACTTTGCAGATTGATCTGTGGCTTCTGAGGCTGCCTGGGGGTAGAATACTACAGAGCAGCATGTGCAATATTAGGTGGGAGGGAAGTAACCTTTTGAGGTCATCAACAACTTCTACAGCCTATCAAAAAAAAATGACTAGGCAGGCTGGAAAGGGAAATCCAATGTTTTCCCTGGTCACGGAACAGTGGTTGCAACAGGTAGCCTTGATATGCAGTGTGTAAAAAGTGACATAAATGGAGTGAATCCTTACAGCTCTGGCAGGCAGACACAGATCTGGTTTTCCCTTAGGAAGTAGGAGGTTCTGGTCTGGCTTTATAAACTCAGTTTGTGCTCAAGAGGATCAACAACCTGGAATGGGTTGTTGTAATAAATAAATATAAAGGTAAAGGGGAAGTCCAGCTATTTACACTTCTTCAATATACAAAACCAACTGTTATGTTATCATTTACTTGAAAGCCATTTCCCTGTTTCTACTTCGTTAAAGAGTATGAAAAATCTTGAATCTCTGGAAATGACTCGCTGACCCTGATTATCATCAATCTGGTACCATGGGGTATTGTTTGGATGGGTGAAAAGAGAATGAAGGAAGGTTGAAGATTTTCCTCCCATGGAAACTAGGGTTTACCACAGGAACACAGAAATGATTTACAGTATGAACAAAGAGAGGAATTATCCTGAGACTGTCATTATAAATAATAAAGAATGGGTATCTGCTTGCGATTCTCAGCCAGTTCATTCACCCATCTAGCAGAAACATCTTCCTATATGTTTGTACAACTCTAGAGTAATGGGCTCTCAGTCCTGACTGCATGTAACTTAACAGAGGTTTACTGGGTTCTACCAGCATAGGAATCATAATGTATCATTAAGGAAAGAACTAGGAGTCAGATTGCTAAAGGTTGAAAAAGAAACTTATGAAGCATTATATTCAGCTGCCATTCAAGCACAACAGTTCTCATAACAGCTAAGATGCTATTTTACTACCCCTTAAAACAGCAGTTTTAATCATTTCTAGATTCAAAGCACCCCTTGTTAGACTAAAAATACCTCTTGGAAAATGCCAGCTCTTGGCCTTCAGTCATTTCTTGATTATGGAAAAATAATCAAGCAATTCTTCTGTTGCAAAGAACTCAGGAAGACCACAACAGGTCAAATGTTTTTGGCACTATGGATTCCTATTTTAAATCTCTGGGTTTATCTTATGAAGTACATGTAAGTGTTTGCTAATACTGCATTCTAGCATTGAGTGCTAATATTGCACTGCACTCTGCGGCATCTTTAAAAGAATCTTGCAGCACCCCAAGTACCATGGCACCCTGGTTGAGAATTAGCCCTAAAACTTGGTACTAGTTAAGTGACAACTTATGAGGAAATATTCTCGGGGCCCTACTGTTTGCCCTTTTACACTATTTAAGGGTTGCCCCTAAAGAACTCATCTACTGACTCTCCAGCATCTGTTTGGTGGTGGGAGATCTGAGATACAGTAGTACAAACTAGCTATGCATGCTTTAGGATTTTTGCATTGTGATAGACAGATACTTTGGTCAAAAGGCTTTACTAGGAAACCTTTGCTTATCTAGGCATTGAAATGGAGTCTTTCCTGGAGCACCATGCATCACGTGGCCTGCTGTCAGTAGCTTTGGAAGCCAATAGAGCTCCATGTATTACATCTTAATTTCCATGACCAGCATGGTATTCTCTGTCTTCTTCAAGACACAAGGATACTGTGAGAAGGAGGGGAAGATTTACATTACTGGGTCTCCCTGGCTAAATGAACATGCCTGTGGCACAGGCTTGAAGTTCTGTGTACAAGGAACACAATCTGGTATTTTCCCTGGTTTGCCGATGAAGATGCTCCGACACTATGGGGCTGCTTCTCCACACTGTCTGAAAGCTATTTGGGGTCTAGGCCCCTTTTCTGAGATGCAGCCCTGGACATTTCAGTCAATCCACTCTGAGAGAACCACTAAGATGGTTTGCTTTGATAGAGAAGCAGCCTCTCTTTATTCCAGTGTATTCAAATTCTTTTTTATAGGCTGTAAAGGCCAGGAGGACTGCTATGATCATTTAATCTAATTCCTTGTAAACAAAGACCATTGATTTTGTTCCAGAAGCTGGATGGAAATGCATTTTTCAGAAAGATCTTGTCTTCTTTTAAAAGCTCCATGTGCTGCTAAGAAAAGGGAGAAGAACAATCTTCTTTTCCTTCCAGCTTTGACAAAAGTTGAGCTCAGCAGGGAGATGACTTAATGAAGATTGGATGACCAATGTGTCTCTATAGTTTATCCATACCTGTTTCATAGAATCATAGAATCATAGAAATAGGGTTGGAAGGGACCTTGTAGATCTTCAAGCTCGACCCCCTGCCTGGGCAGGAGAAAAACTAGGCTCAAATGACTCCAGCCAGGTAGGCATCAAACCTCTTCTTAAAGACCCACCAGGGTAGGAGCCAGCACCACTTCCCTTGGAAGTTGGTTCCAGATCCTAGCCGCCCTAACTGTGAAGTAGGTCTTATGGATGTCTAATCTAAATCTACTGTCCAACAACTTGTGGCCGTTATTCCTTGTTATGCCAGGAGGTGCTAGGGGAAACAAGGTCTCCCCCAAACCCTTCTGGTTCCTGCTAGTGAGTTGATAGATGGTCACCAGGTCCCCCCTCAGCCTTCTCTTGTGAAGGCTGAATAGGTTCAGGTCCCACAGTCTCTCATTGTAGGGTCTGCCCTGTTGTCCCTGGATCATGCGTGTCACCCTCCTCTGGACCCTCTCAGTGTTGTCCATGTCCCTCCTGAAATGGGGTGCACAGAACTGGACGCAGTACTCCAGCTGTGGCCTGACCAGTGTCGCGTAGAGGGGGAGGATCACCTACTTGGCCCTGCTTGAGATGCACTTGTGGATGCACGACAAGGTCCGGTTAGCCCTGCCAGCCGTAACCTCTCATTGTCGGCCCATGTTCATCTTGGAGTCAATAATGACTCCAAGATCCCTTTCTGCCTCCGTGCTCTCAAGAAGGGAGTTTCCCAACTTATAAGTGTGCTGCTGGTTATTACTGCCGGAGTGCAGCACCCTGCACTTGTCAGTATTGAAATGCATCCTGTTTTTGTTAGCCCACCC